GATGCCCCCGCATGCAAACAAAATTTCAGATGTTATAATATTTAGTTCCAAATTTGTTTCATTTTAAGTTCAAAGCCCTTAAAATTTTTCAATGTTAACACAAACCATTTTTATACAATGTTCAAGGCACTGAAATTATTCAGTCTTAAACTTTTGTAAATTGCATATTGCATATTTGTAGCCAAAATAATGGCTACATACATTTCCACAAAAGTATGAGTGCTTAAACTGAAAGTTTCCAAAATTTCCAAAATTCAGGAAAGATAAGTTTGTCAAAAATCATTAAACCACGAAAAAAAATCAAACCTAAACTGCTTATTCCTAAGATGTATCTATATGTTAAATTTGAGCCCATTGGGGAGACAATGAACGGAAACTTAAAATTTCTGATTTTTTTCAAAGTTCAAGAGGGATAACTCTGTCAGCTATCATCAAACCATGACCAAATTCAAAATTGACCAATGCATTCTTATCATATCTTTAATTTGAGTTGAATATGTACAATTGTTGGGAAAATAATGAATAGGAACTGAAAATTTCCTTTTATCCAAAGTTAAAGGGGCATAACTCTGCCAAAAATCATCAAGCCATGATAAAACTCAAACTTGACCTGCGCATTTCTTTGATGTATCCATATGTCAAATTTGAGTTGAATGTGTAATACCCTAGAGGAGATAATGAACAGACACTGAAAGTTTCATATTATTTTCAAAGTGAAGGGGACATAACTCTGCCAAAAAATCAACGAACCATGACCAAATTCCAACTTGACCTGCGCTATCCATATGTCAAATTTGAGTTGAATATGTAACACTGTTGGGGAGATAATGAACAGAAACTGTAAATTTCATATTATTTTCAAAGTGAAAGGGGCATCATTCTGCCAAAAACCATTGAACCACGACCGAATTCGAACTTGGCTTGCTCATTCCATTGACACATCCATATGTCTAATTTGAGTTGAATTTGTAATACTGTTGGGGAGATAATGAACGGAAACTGAACATTTAATATTATTTTCAAAGTGAAAGGGGCATAACTCTGCCAAAAATTATTAAACCATGACCAAATTTGAACTTGACCTGCGCATTCCTTTGACGTATCCATATGTCAAGTTTGAGTTGAATGTGTTGTACCGTTGGGGAGATAATGAACGGACACTGAAAATTTCATATTTTTTTCAAAGTAAAAGGGGAATCACTCTGCCAAAAATCATCAAACCATGACCAAATTCAAACTTAATCTGTATTTTCTCATGTCATATCCATATGTCAAGTTTGAGTTGAATGTGTTGTACCGTTGGGGAGATAATGAACGGAAACTGAACATTTCATATTATTTTCAAAGTAAAAGGGACATAACTCTGCCAAAAATCATCAAACCATGACCAAATTCGAACTTGACCTGTATTTTCTCATGACATATCCATAATTATGCAAATTTGTAATGAATGTGTGCAACCGTTACTAAAATAATGAACGGAAACTGATGATGAAGGAATGACAGAATGACGGAAGGACGAAATGACGGAACAGGGTAACACTATATGCCCCGGCCATTATATGGCGGGGGCCATAAACATTCTGAATCTTGTAGATGATGATGAAAACATAATTTAGAAACAAAGTGATCCCTCGGAAGCATTAATCACAAAAAAGTACAAGAGAATTGCAGACTCGGTTTGATTGCGTCTGTACATAAGTGATAATGAATAAGTGCAACATCATTCACGCCCACTAGCATTGGCTTGAGCGGTTCTCAATTGTCAACACTTAATAGTGCTGGCATCAATGATCCCGAAGGACCATAAAAATATAACAACACTGAGGTGAAGAACGGGGAAACTTTTTACAGCTGCCACACAGCACTTGACACCTGCTGTTGTGAAGTATAAAAATGTGGAAACAAAGTGATCCCTCTGTTGAATTAATCACAACAAAATTACAAGACTAAACTAACTAAAACAAAAAGAAAAGTCTGTACAAATATTTTACATTCTAATAATAAACTCTAACAAGATTCACAAGGCGTATCCCAATTAAAAGATCAAAACTTAAGTAATAACACTGGAAAAGTAAACCTTCTTAACAAACAATTTCAGTCACTTTTCTCACCAATTATAACACTCTCACAGTTACATGCATACAAAACCTGACACTCATGGACACCAGAAAGCATTGTCATTACACATAAATGAGTGAATTCTTCATAAGTAAGGCAGGTGTACTAAAGCTCCGACATCAATGCTAGCAAAGCTGTCGGCTCTGACAACATAAGACTAACTGTCCTGAAGGAGCTGAGGGAAGAGATTGTTGACATTCCAAAATTCCGGTATTATTCTCTATGACTGCACAAGTGCAAATGTATGCACTGTCTATTAAAAGGTGATACCAGTAATCCATCAAACTATCGCCGAATTCCCCTTTCTTGCACCATTTGTAAAACACTTGAACACATAGTTGACTCTTAACTGTCCTCCTCTCACTTTACTATCCACAACATACTCTATGATCTTCAGCATGTATTCAGGGAACGGCGATCGTGTGAGACACAGGTCATTGAACTAACTTTTATCCCTCTGAACAACCTTTCAAATGACAAACAAACCTGAACAATCTTTCAAATGTCAAACCTATCTCACTACTTGACTAAACCATCTTAAACTCTTAGATACCCATCAAGAACAAGCTCTCTGTCCTCAAGTTCCAATCTTGATACATTCCTTCCTAACTGGCCGTAGATAGACAGTAGTTGTCGATAGAGACTGCTCATCTGAAGTTCCAGTTACCTCTTGAAAGCCCCAAGTTTCAGTTCTGGGGTCCTCTGTTTCTTTCTTTATATAAACAAGCTACCATCTTCTGTCCTTGAATCTCAAGTCAAGCTTTTTGCAAACGACACTGCAGTCTACCTAACAATCAATTCCTCCCCAGAATCTCCAACACTTTAATATGATCTAGACAATATGGTTCTGTGGGAGAAGCAGTGTGACATGGAGTTTAACCCTTCAAAGTACCAAGTCATATTTATATCACTAAAAAACCAAACCATAATTAAACAACCACTTTATGCTCAATTGCCAAGTCCAGGAATCGGTTTATTTTGCTAATTATCTCAAACTAGATCTGTTTGTTGACATTATATTTAAGAATAACTTCCAATGCAACAAATCTCTTGGCTTTATCAAAAAGCATGTAATTGCCAAAAATGAGAAAATGTAAGAACTAGCATACAAGTCCCTGGTCCGGCAATAGGTTGAATATGCATAAAATATTTGGTCTCCGTAAATTGAAACCAATATTGAAAAAGTTGAGATGGTTGTTAGACGTACAATACGATAGGTAAAAAGGGACAACTCCCCTCTCTCCAGTGTCAAAGTGATGGATTGAGAAGAACTGGACTAAATGGACTGGCGATCTCTTTCACAAGACATACTCGACTGTAGACTCATCCTGTTTTATAAGATATTTCAATAAATGCGCCCCTTATCCCTGCGCCAAATACAGGTTTACTCCAACTACCATAAGTACCCTTTCTTTTTTTATAACATTATACTCTAGAATAAACTCCCTAGCTACATTACCACCCTGTCAAACTTAAGTCAGTTTAAATGGATAATAGTAAGATTACAGTACTAGTCTTGCTCCCGATGTTTTTAACTATTTTATCCTTTATATTTTTCTTTCACTATTAACATTTAAACAATGACTAGAAGACATTTCAAGTCTCAGCTTCCTACCATGCTTGGACTATTTCGCTCTTCTTTCACAGTTTACTAACAATCTGACAATCATTCTATTTTTTCATGAATTTATTGTTGCATGTGCAGTCCTAGCATTGAGCATTGAAAGACCAGGTCCATTCGTCAATCTTGTGAAATAGCACAAGTTTGTGCTTCATGTAAAACATCATTTAGGGTGGGGTCGTTGGTAAATTTGAATTCTTGTTAAAGATAAATTGCTTCCCTCCGCATTCAGAAACAGTCCGGCTACAGTGAAAATTATATTTCATAATTTCATTGTGTGACTATCACCATATAAGTTCTCTTTCCATTAGAAACCACGCAACGGTTTTTTGTTCTTTGATAGTTTTGTTATTGGCACACATAATATTTTCTGTTTAGGCAATTTAAATTATGCTTTTATTAAAACTGCGTTAAGTGAATTTCCGATTTCGTTTTGAGCACAGTGTTCATGATTTCATTTGATAGGTTTGGAAATTCAAATATAAACTAAATGTTCTCTTTTGATATTGGAATTTTCATTCCTTGCCATTTAAAGGCCCATTGGGCCTCAAAAATGCTTTTATTTCAATTCATCAAAAGTATTTTATAGATTTTGGTGTTTTGTCATATTTTCCAAACACTTACTTATTGGCTAATTGTCTGAACCATCATTTGCGTCAGTCGCTTTTTAGCAATTACTGAATAAGTATTTTGTATGGAAGTCATTATACTACTTTGTCTACATTCTACCGCTTTAATGACAAATACTTTCACATTCAGTGCTTCTGTCTGTTGGTAAGCATCTAAAGTGCTCTAGAATCTTCATTTAAACGTTAAAACACCCTAATGTTTGACATTTTAAAGAACGAAAACATTATTTGTTTCTGAGGTATGATGTGCCTTTAAGTTTCTTTGACAAACGTCTTTTACCAAGCGTAAATGCAGATGCTAGTTAACAACAGTAAGGCAATAAACATACGGGGAAAACACATGTAAAAGTGAAAAATGCAGATACTGTGATAAAGATTGTTTCCAATACAATAAGTAATGCGCATCTCATATTTACAAGAGTACTTTTACAAGAATCTAAAATGTAATTAAACAATAGCATATTGCACTATAAGAAATGTTCATTTGTTCATTGTATAATCAAAAGTATAAATTATTTCCTTGTAAACGCTTACATCTGCAAATGAAATTACAAAAGAAAACGATTTTCAGATTGTAAGTAAACGCAAACATCTTTAACAAGTCCGAAAATAATAAAAAAATCTATTACCTGTGATTTTTTTCCATACATGACTTGCAAAAAAAAATATTATGGTCTGTGCAATACCACGTGCACTCAGTACCATCATGCGTTTCACATGTTTTTATTCCCGTCTCAGACTCGACATCTGCATAAAAGAAACAAATATATGAATAAGAAAAGATGCTTTGTGAACTGATGTAATCTTTAAAAGTAATTGCTCCGTGAAGAAGTGTCAAAATAAGTAATAAGAAAAGTATGAAGAAGGTGTAAATATTATTTAGCATCAGTGAATGAAATAATTTATTGAAAACGTACAAATACAACCCATATGCTTGCATGTGAAATATCAAACATGAATAAAACATTCGTTACGTAGGTACAGCAAGCGAGGCAACAGCATCAAAGCGGCATTCAGCTTTCCAAAAGATAAAATATGTTAGTTTTTAGATAAATCGTTTCATATTATTGGCAAATGAAAAACAAACATAATATGTTTGTGAAACATGTTTGCCCCTATCGGCAACCAATTAGTCATGTGGTCAGGTGATTGTGACTGACCTTTGACCTATTGACCATAACAAAAAATCAACAGAAGTCATCTACTGGTCATGACAAGTCACTAGGTAATTGAGATTGTAAAGTTTGTTTGCAGCAAACTTATGACAAAGTTATCACAAATCTTACAAAATGATAAATAAAATTTTATGAATCATGTAGGCCTCTTTAATGACCGCAAAATTGTTATATTACATTAGACCTTAAAATGTGTATACTAAAAGCATTTTAGTTAAATAAAAAAATATCAACCAATGCAACTTCAATCCATTGAGGTCATCTTCTGACCAAAAGCAACGCACCTGTAAAGTTTGAAGGTCAAAGATGTTATCTTATTGGAAAGACCAATCCACTTACGACGTTTGAGGGCCAACAGGTCATGAGTTGTCAAGTTATTGAAAGGAAACTGCCTTTATCACCAAAGTCAATGTGACCTTGACCTTTAACCCCATGACCCAAAAATCCATCGAGATCTAGTGGCCTGGAGGGCCAAGGGCCTATGGGTTGTCAAACATTTTTACCTACAAGGTCAAGATGACCTTGATCTTTGATCCATTGACCCCAAAATGAATATGGGTCATCTACTTGCAAAGACTAATGTACCTATGCATTTACAGGGCCAAGTTGTCCATGGGTTGCCATGGAAAACCGTTTTTATCTACAAGGTCAATATAACCTGACCTTTGACACTTAAATCATTAGAAGTCATCTACTTGTCAAGACCATTTCACCTTCGAAGATTGAGGGCCAACAGCAAGTTCGTTGTTAACTAATTGATCGGAAACCGTTTTTACCTACAAGGTCAATATGATCCCCAAAACCATTTTATTAGACCAAACGACCTCAGAAGTTTGAGAGCCAACAGCCCATGGGTTGTCAAGTTATTGGTCAAAAATTGTTTTTAACTACAAAGTCAATGTGACCATAACCTTAAATCATTTTTTTACGTATTATTGTACCTCAAGAATTTCAAAGTTAATTTTCATTGGAAGGTTTTCCTTGATTTCTTCAGCACAAAACTGAATTACTTGTCCTAATCAATAGCAACATCTTTTAGCATTAAGACGTGCCTTTTGTATTTTTATCTACAAAAATCTATATACGTTGCGTTTTCTATTTTAATTAACCCAGCTACAATTTTTGAGTGCTATTATATAATAAAAAGTATGAACAAAATAAACAAGAATTATTTTTTCTAGGTAAATGCAATAACCCTCTTCAATTTCATTTTTTTGATCGCAGTTACGAAATTTGTCAGAATCAAGGGCATTGTAGAAAAAATATATTTGTATTTATACGAAGCATTTGGCTTTCGTAAAAATAACACAAACTTGCTGAAATTGACAAATGTGTTACTTTATAAAGCGTGAAGGAAAGACAGCTAAAAAATCGTAATTAAAAATTCAAGTTTAGACAGTCATGCACCAAGTGACAGCAACACGTGCATTCCTTCTTTCTACTTGTTCGGAATGCACGTGACAATACAAATTATCGAGATTCACTTTTGCATTTGTTGAACAGTAAATGACAAAATCCGACATTCACAAGTGTCAAGTTATGATTCTAACTTAGTTTATACAATAATGTAAAAATAATAATTTCACACTTTGAATATTAGTTTATGAATATCTTAAAGTATCTTTTCGAAATCTAAATTTTAATAAATTCATTTCAATGTGACTATTTTTATCGTACCAGTTTGCTTTTTGGAAAGAAATGAATAAAAGAAAAACAGTGTGTAAAGCAAAACATGTAAAAGAATACAAACCTTTTAATTCTTCATGTGCTTGTCGGAACTCTTCATCTTTCTTCAGAAAATAGGTAAAAGTATTACGTGTTTATCATGAAATAATAGCAAATAAAGAAAACAATAAAAAAAAGTAACAATATATTTTCAATACATGAGTTTTGTTCATAATTTCATATTATGACAAAATTTTCAAATCTTTGACTTGAATTTAAGTGGTAAAGTGGTATCAGTACAAATGTAAAACGCTATTGATCTTTAATTTTGGGATACTTTTGTAATCTTATAATGGCCAAATTTAATGTTGTAATACCACGTGACATTTTGGGTACCCTGCGCCTAATCTGATCAAAATCGGTGGAGTAACAGCAATGTTATACAAAACATACCTGAATCGGATAAAAAAATCTGCGTGTACCGTACCAGGAACGTCACCTGGTATGACCACAATAAACTTGCATCAGAAAAAAACTCAAACTACAATATATTTAATTGATTCGGAATTTTGGAAGCCGTTCATATTTAACTAACTGACCAGCTCCTGTGTTGCGTTAGTGAATTTGCCTAAATCTGTATGTCAAAATATATATCTGCAGGATTCACCTAGTGAAACTCCGCGTTTTGATATATTGTTTCGATTACCTTTAATCTTACATTATTTAACTTTCACATTTTACATTTTTAACTTATCACGTTTAATGCATTTTCTTTACATTATTATTTCTAGAAAATTGCCATTTATACCTGACTTAGAGCAGCTTCAAGTAGTTCTGTAACCTCTTGTAGGGCTGTAGCTCGAACATCTTTCTTCATTTTTTCTATTTCCTCTTTTGTGTTAATATAAATTTCACAGTTCTTTAACTGTAAATAGATAAATTACTTGAATGATTAAAAAGCATGGTTACGTCAGCTGTTGTTAATGGGAAGAAAAAAATAATAAAGGCCTACATACCTACCCGACTTTGCCTGTTTAAGATATTATATATGCTCTATTGAAAAATTTGTAATTAATTACATGCTTTATATATTTTGATTTTTTCTGTCAAAGTGAAATTATAAAACATAATTTTCTATATATGAATGCGGTTGAAAATAATCGTTCATAAATAATTGGAAATATCGTTAGAAATATACTCTATGTTACTAGTAAGTGAAATGTTTAAGACAAAAGAAAACAAAAAAGGCAGAGGAAAAATGATGAGGATAAGATAAAATAATGGATTGGCGATTAACGTACGTATCAATTTTATTGACAAGTCATTATTAAGCATTACTTGGTAATTTACATGTACTGTAAGTGCCATTTGAAGTGTATCAATAAGTTTTTGTTCACATTTCTTAAAAGCATTTTTTGTTTCAAGAAAATTTGCATGAATCTGGAGACATGCAGTTAAACCGGCAATGCGAAATAGTAAAAACGTACATACATTATCATCATTAATCGGTTCTTACTTTAACTAACAAGCATTTATGTTCTCACTGTTTACTATAGGCGCGCTACAAGTATTAGCATTTCCAAAAAACGCTTTGAATCAACCTGAATAAAGCATTTAACACGTTTTTTTAGAAGTGCACGTTTCGGAAAGAAAACAAAATATACTCTTATTTAGACAATATTCTCTAATCAAAATTGACATGCAGCAAAAAATAATGGATTTTGCTGTGATCCTCAAGACTAGTACTGAGTTCGCACATATACAATGGTATTTTTCAGTTGTATGAATAAGTGACCGACAAACTTAGCGGTTGGGCGAGTCCATTTGCACGTCCCTTATTGAAGTTTTTTGACGCCCATTTTGTTATCAAGTGATATTGAATTATTCGCTTTCATTGGCTAAATGCAGGCCGTGTTTCATAAGTTACTGCTATTTTCAAACTTAATGAGTTTATAAATTAGCTTAGTTTCTCTGTGAAAATAGATATTCCATTGATCAAGTTATTTTTCCACATTTATATTGCAATCTTCAACCCCGTACAAGGCAATGCACCCCCATATCATTAGTTCGTTGCATGACTAAATGCGTCGAGTCCCAGCCAAATCTGATCTACACCACTTGCCCTCTTTTTTTCAAGGAATGTATTCGAAAGTCTTTCCTTACAACAATTTCCGACTCATCAGAGAATATGATATTTTTCAAATGACCTTCAACAGTAAGTTTCCTCTTTTCTCGGCACCATGACAACCGTTTCCTGCGATTAACCTCCCGGAAAGTCAGTTTCTTCCTTGCTACTCGTCGCCTAAATCCATGCTTGTGTAAATGAAATTGTTATGTACTTGCAGCTAATGGCTTGTCTCTGTTTTTATTTCAATTATTTGTTAGATCTTGTAAACTGTCTGTCCTTTTACTTTTTACTAACCTTTGTAACCACCTATACTCCACTGCTATAACTGTTGATTTAATACAACTTCTTGAACTATTTTCTGTAGAATCACTCTGCTCGATTTGATTCTGTTAACTTCCAACGTCGATCTGGGCACATTTAACGTATTTGATACGAATTGTTTTATCTTCTTCAAACAATTTTTGAGCTTTCATTTTTATTCCGGCATTAATTCTTTACCTTTTCGCCCCATGTTTTCTTAACATTTTTTTCTGAATAGCAGTATATGATGTTAGAAAAGTCACACATCTATATAATTCTACAAAACATAGAAAACCCAGTTCCTATTCCGATATTTGTTGACAATGCTATGAAGCTCCGCCATTTTGCCCAAATATATATTGCATCATACTGTATAAGTCAATTTCATAGCTGTCTGTCATATGTGTTCTGTTTATTAATTTATTGATTAAAAACGATTCCCAATGTATTCGGAAAGTTATCATCTTTTTTTTTTATTTCTTTTTTTTTTCTTTTTTTTTTTTTGGGGGGGGGGGGTAATGGGAGGGGTCTAGGCGGATTTTTAATGTTCGACCTTTTATCATCTCCATTTTTATACGTGTGTAATCACGCCTCTTTACAACACTTTCGCCTGTGCATAGAACGAGCGCAAAAGGATATCAACTTTTAAAAAGTTTCTTAGGAATTATAATACTGATTTACTACAATTATTGTGTTACTATTATTTTACATACTTCAATCTTATTGGACAAAAATAATTTCAAACACAAACATATATCAATCATAAATGGATGATGATTGTCATTTAAACATTTATCTATTAACGCACACAGTTTGGCACATAAAGATTTCCCGCAGGCATACGGCTCATTGAATGATCACAAAACATGTTTGTGATAGCCGAAAACATTAATCAAAATCAAAAGTCAGAAATTAATTCAAGTCCATTCCAATTACACTATATACTAATATTGTAACAATCTTACACCGGCTGCCGGTGCAGAGCGAAATATCTAGCTCGCGGGGAACTGTTCACTGCAGTAACAATTCTCATTTAACATTTTATTCTTATAGCAGCGTATGAATTTACACAGCAAAATGACGTCATCCTAATAACGCAATTCATTTATTAAAGAAGAAACACTATGCATATATTCATTAAATAGATAGAATTTTTGAAGCATTAGATTTTTTCATTGTTGACTTGGACTTGAAACATAAATATTTTATCACAAAAAAACTTACATCATCGAGGGCTTTCAAAGATTTTTCTACTTCAGCGTGTTTAAAAACCTTTTCATTTGAATTATTTCTGACCTCCAAAACATCTCTAAAATCACTTAAGTATTCACGTAACTTGTCATCGGATATCTCGTAGCTCGCGCTATGTAGCAATTCGTTTCTGTGTCTCCTTGCCTAAAATTAAGAAAAGAAAATGTATAAAACATAAAAAAATCGAATATATTTTTGCCGATCATAATTTTCAATATGCTCTCTTTGAGAATGATTCAATGAAATTTAGACTAAATGCAAATTGCTGAGATATCTGATTACTAAAAGTTTACTAGAAAATTTAAAAAAATAATAATTTTGAACATGTTATATAAACCGCGGTTAAAATGCTAAGAATTAAGATTGAAGTAATGTAATTTTCACCATATCAAAAACGCCATAATTTGTGTTTGGGAGGTATGCTTTATTGTTGACGAACAAACAAAGCAGCTCTGCACAATCCAGGTCTTTTGCTGATTGCTTACGTTTGTACTCTGATGTATGGATGAAAGCTGTATTACTTATGTAGCAAGCTGCTATACTCCAGGAATCAGTTTTCCACTTGTCCATGCTTGTGTTTGTCAAGGCTGGATCCTCAAAGCGATGGTCACGAACTATCAGGTCATAAATCTCACTACATAGCTCATTACTTGGACAAACTCGTCTGCTGTGTGGATGGCTGGAGCATATACACCTATGCTTGTTCTGGGTTCTTGGACATTGCTTTTTTGAGTGCAAAGGAAGGAGATTTTCGCTATTACATTCTAAACATACTTGTTTTGACACAGTTTTAGGTAAAGCCTTTAAAATATGTTTATGATGACTATTTACAGCTTTTTCTGCAGGCAACTCTAGTCCTAACTGCAGGGGTTTGAGAGCCAGTACTCCTCGTATCCAATTGTTGTGCATTTCTTCCTTCATCTGCTGCTTAACTATATGGTCCATATGTCCTGTTTTGATAGAATCATGTTTATACATGTATTATTGGTTGTAATTTAGTTCTGTCTACACTACAGATATAAAAAATGCTGGTCCATGATATATTAGTTTTTTGTTTCTTTTGTAGGATTTATAGTAAAAATAGTGAAGTTATGTTACACAATATCAAAGATAGACTATGTTCAAAATAATTATGCAAAAAATCTTTATCATAAAAAATCCCATCTTTTGATGATGTATTTATAACGTTTCTAAAATGTTCAGCGCTGTACAATATTAATTTGAGCGCTGTACTGGTTTAACTAAATCAGTGTTTCTTGTTCTCCTAACTTTCACTGTATAAAAACAAATTTGTTTTAGATAAAACAAAATAAATGTGCCTTGTACAGAGTTATTTTGAAGAAAAAAATGACTTTTTGACAACAACCTATTTTATTTTCGGTAGCATGTGCATATCATCAGCCGAAATAGTTTAATTAATATCAATAAACAGACTTGTAACGTCATGAAATAATGCTTAAACGTTAAGTAACAACGTTTTCTTGCATATCAGACAAACTTATCTACTGTTTACTCCGATGCTTACAGCCCCCGTTTTAGACAAGCCGCGTGCTTAAAATGACATCATATCCTCGCGCCTTTAATGAATAAATTGCGGTCTTAAGATGACGTAATTTTGCCGGTATGAATGAAATTGAAAATTGATACGCTTCTGTAAGAAAAGGGTGTTAAATGAAAATACTAGTTTTCGTTATTGCTGTTCGAAATATGATTAACGTGTGATGTGCAAGAAAATATGCATTATAAGATAACGCGGTAATAATGAGTAGTGCGTAATGCAAGTAGTATTAGTACATTGTACATGTTTTTCAAGGCAACTTATCTAGAGTTATTGCAATATGTGTACATATATGCATTCTACTGAGTACATATAAATGGTCCATCCGACTTGACCCTTGATAGCGAATCCATTCGTTATATTCGTAACCTAGAGCATTTATATGATAACCAGTTTGTTATACATGTGGTCTTCTTTTATAGAACTCCTTTCAAATATTGAATTACCACATTGTACAAATAATATTAAATGTCCGGACAGTTGCTTTATTATAAATGTATTGTGTTTCGTCCCAGAAAAGCATTGCTACTTATCATTCCCGCATTTTTATGACGTTACGTCAAGATATGTTGCGCTCATGGTCTCCGGATACCTTTTACAGTAATTGATGTTTTTGATGTCACTCTATCAAATACAACCATATACTCTCCCTCGTCAGCAGACTCAACATGGTGTATGATAAGCTTATATGTATGACATTCTGACACAATAGATACTTTTCCATCATTTTTGATTTCTTGGTTGTTATGGAACCATCTTGGTATCTTCCCACATATGTTTATTGTGCATCTAAGAGAAACTTTCATATATTCGTTGATATCCCCATCACAATCTGTATGTAAAGGTGTGCATATGTGCAACTCTTCTTCTGTTTGAAATAAAAAATGTATTTCAATTTGATTTTGTATGGTATACATTGTTAAAATATCATTTATTTCTGATTAATTTTATACAGTACATTGATTTAAACAAGTATTGTTGTGGTTGTCAGTTTCAACACTGTATAAGTGGATATTTATGCGTCACAAATATTTTGCGAATTACAAAAAGTGGACTTTTGAGTGCGGAAATACTTGCGAAAATATGATTTATTGAATTTAATTCTGTTTTATTTTCTCAACCTCCTTGAGAAATAAACGCTGCTCTCTCTCTCTCACAATATGCTTTATTATGGTGTCAGTCAGTTTGTAATCTGCTTTAATCTGTACCAAAACATTGGCCTGCGTCATGGTTAAGAGTAAGAATATAAAAGTTGCTATAAAGATGTCATAAGTGTGTAGATGTGTTTGGAGTTTAATTTGAATAAGAATCCAAATAATTTTCAAAAGGAAAATATTAAATGGTTCTCGTAAAAGAACAAAAAAATCAGGATATTTCTGACCATCCTCTCGTTTATTATTACATATCATGTTAAAGTCCATGTTATCAAAAATAGTTAGATTTTTCTTTCAATTTTACTGACTTACCTTCGACTAAAACAGAAGCTGATGAAAACAAATCATTGTATTTACAAATATATATTCCGCTATCTTCAATTTTCGTGCATGGAACAATCAGGAAATGTCTGCCTTTTTCCGCTAATATATTGACTGATTTTTTGTCCGTGAGGATTTCACCGTCTTTCGACCAAACTACTTGGCAATCATCTTTGTTCAGTTCGCAAACGAGTGTAACTGATTCGCCTGTGTGAACAACCCTGCTAGATAACTGTATTACAAACTGTACCGTGTGATTCTCTTTGTCTGTAATGATAAATAATTGAATGTAATGTTAAAGGACTAAATGGTTAGTGAAGAATTTAAACAGAATCGAATAGACGGTGTACGCTTACTATAGTGTACGTATGCTCAATATATGTACATGTATAAAAAAAGTTAACATACATTGATGTTTATTAAGGTAAACATGAATGATATAATTGAATCAAGACATCTCATGCATGGCTAAATATATCAATATTCAATTTTAACATGCTTCGTGATTTTGCAAATCTACACAAAGAAGGAAAAAAACGCTGCCTTTAAAAGTTGGTACGGAACTACGTTTATGCGGCTGTTTTTTTACCACCGATAACAGCGATAGTAAACGCTTTTAGGCCAACAATGTATTTTATGTATAGGTTAGAGTGCATATTGGGTGTTCTTCGTAAATAAGAAAGCTAAAAAGGAGCGGAGCTTGCGAAGCGACTGTAGCTTTCTTATTTACGAAGAACACCCAATATGCACTCTAACCGGCTTAGTGCTCCGCCCACTTGCGTTTTATAATATAAAACGTCCAGTTTATATAAAATCTGTTCTATTAAGATTTGTAACCTGAAAATTTGAAAAATCCTCGTCGGTGATTGGCTTAAAAATATTGGCGAGCACTAATTATTTATATTTTCCGTTTTTGTTGTATTGTTTCCATATGGTGCTAAATTGTCATCTAACATACGCTACAGATTTTATCCATATCAGTTGATAAATTTATAATTATAAGAAAAAATACAGCAATGTATACAAGCAACGTGATGACGTCGTCCGATGTTTATATCTCATAAGGGCGCCAGAATGACGTCATTTTAAACTGACATGGATGGGGAATGACGAAGGAATTATTATTCGAGCATCGATGTAAACACAATGTTATCCAGACTGACAATTCTGCAAGTAAGTTTAAATTGTTTGAAAAATTGATGGCGACATAGAGCAGCGCAATACAAAAATCGGCAGCGGGAATAATCGCTTGAAAAAAGCGTAAGTGGTCTCCTTGTTTTTTTCATGTTAGAATCGAAATAATATTGGTGTTCATCGGGCATTTAACACTGGCATGTCGTTTTGATGCAAAAAAACACTTAGGCCTACGGTCTTTGTTATCAGTTCCCGCGCATCAAAACTTTTAACGTTGTTAAATGGCCTATAAACACTACGTTTATTTATGAAATGAACAACGAATATGCTATTTGACATCTCTCGATTTAACAATATATGCATACCTGTATTATTTAGCACGCCTTTGAATTTAGAAATGTCACCTGTGCCAATTTCCGACTTCCAATTTGACGTTGAAACACTTTCGGTTGCAATCTGGATATGCCTGTTAACATCGTCGGTGCGTTTTAAACTTTCACAAACATCTCTGCTAACATGAATGTCCGTTGATTCGTCAAAGGAATGAATTAATCGTGTGCACTCAAAGTCAGCATCTGTATCTGTGAAAAGACGCCGCAATGAGCTCGTCAGTCCATTCCATTTATATTGAAAAGTATCAAAGTCAAGAAAGGCACTCTTTGCATAGTTTTCGAGATCATGATGTTGATCCGAGATACACTTAACACTATCAATCTCTGGGTGTTCACTAAGAACAAAAACTACTTCACACAGAGTTTTTATTCCCCAAGTCTCGATTTGTTCGTCGATGTTTTCGTCGTTATCCACAAAAAGCTTTGTGTATAAATTCTTGTAAAATGTTTGAATATGTTCTTTCTTTTCTGTTAGAATATAATCAAGAGATTGTCCATTTTTTCTAACGTGTTCTTTTATATAGGCTTTAACAGTCAACGGTACAGCTTTACTAAATAATGAAAGGTGTCTGAAATATAACTCTTGTCCTCTTGTTGACTCCTCTTTTTTCTAAAATTCGAATATAGATATAATCTGATGTAAAAAAGAAACATTGCACTATTATATTTGCCATTTTTATGTAATCACTCGAAATGATTAGATTTTTTTTCCCATCCGAGTACTGGCGCACGTTGCATGACTGTTAAACTGCCATCGCAACACAATTATCAATCAGCGGCAGCGTTTTCAGCTATCTGGAAGCGCAAGAGATTGCGTTCGTTAAAGAAGGCCAAGGGTAACGACTGCAAGTATTATTATATTTAAATGTTTAACAAGAAAAGCCTATTAAAAACAATTAGCAAATCCCAAGTGCTCCGTTTCTTTTTTTTTTTCTTTTTTTTTTCGTCAGTATGGAAATGATGGTGACGAATATATATTTTGTTTATTAATTATACAGTATGTAGCTGAGATATTTGTTTTTCGTAAAATTGTAAGACGATTAAATGCTGTAAATTATTCTTAATCTTGGGATATACCTGGTAATACTACAATTCATTATATCTTGTTTGTAATCAAACGAGATAAAACAGGTTTCCAAATCTTTACCTAATCAAAAGTTTCATAGAACAAGGGCGTTGTTACATTCGAAAGAGTTCTTATCGTTTAACTAATGCATGTTTTGCTGATCTTTCAACTGTCTGTTTGAAGCGGTAGAAATTTTATATATTATACGTCCATTTACAATCTGGAGCTAACTCGTAAATAATAGACGGGGAAAAGTATTTTTTTTCAAGCTGCTGTTTTGTTTAGAATTTATATAGTTTATATTGAAACATAATTATCGTTTCGCTGCACAAAATAACGCAACAGAAAAAAAATTGTATTCTTAAAGAACTTTAGGAGTTTATATCAGGTATTGCCACAGTTTAGTTCAGTTTCCGGTGCGGGTATAAAAAGTCGTTGTTAATTTTGCTTGTGAAAAATGTAAAATTTGATTGCCTAATTGTGCTTTAGAGGATTGTTTTTATATTTGAGCGGTGAGAATGTACCTATGTTATAAAATACTAGAAATCTCGGAATTGTGAAATTGTGAATTTGATACCTTGTGTGATATTTGAATTGACATTATTTGCTTTTGTTTAGATATTTTGGTTGTTATAGCTAGGACACGTAGTAGACATCGCATATTTGGTTTAACCAGTATACACCTATATTGATCGCTTGATCGTCACGCATGACTTAACTGTAATAAGCTGAATAGATCGGTACTGATTGATACTGAATCTTTAGATATGCGAATTACAATTGGACTTTGGCGAGCATGAAATCGGACATTTACTTATCCGTCCAGTCACAAGAAAAATTGCCTAACGACTTGCGCCTCTATACATAATTAATCAATGTGCATGCGAACGTTGCTTTTTCTTCTTCTATCTGTATATTGCGTTGAATGTAATCCAGGACCGACTAGCAAGAGAGCACGCGGGCAGGCTAGGTTGGCGCGATCATCCACTACATCCTCACATCCGCCGAAACACACGCATGCACGCACGCACGCACACACACATGAGATCGACCTCTCGCAGAGTAAAGTAACAAATGACAGCGGGCATTCGTATTTTTCGCGTAGCTCTGGCCAAGCGTTCTTCGTACCTAGGCAACAGCCAGACGCTACGCAACAGAAAACAATTACATGGAAGATGGAACATTGACATCATCAAAGTCATCTGGAGTAACACATGCCGTAGAATTGAACTTCTTCTAGATATTAAATCGGAATTAAGACAAATCAAATGAATATGAAAAACAAGATCATCAAGGAAGTGTGGCGTTCAATGAATGCAAACCCCAAACGATCCAGCAACAATTGACCACCATCAAGGAGCTCAGCAGTACACCCAAACAAAAACAAGACAAGGCAAAAGGCCAAGCACGGACGGGCGATAACTTAAATGATATGTAATAATAAACTAAAGAAACAGACAAGGAATTAAAGAAGATGATTAATTAATAGGTCTTTACTTAAACGGGATGTAGGGGAAGGGGACTCGGTGGTCGGGGAAGTGGAGGGGCAAAATCAAAATAATAAAACAAACCTAAGACAAAATGGAAGAAACATTAGACGAGAAAACAAAAAGAAGGAACATAAAATTGTCACCATAACAGTATAAAATATCAAACAAAACATTAATCTCAGGAACACAGAGGAGCGCTGCCTTGGAACGTTCAGCAGAATAGACACTGCTGGGGAGTTAATTGTACACCAAACCTCACTTTTAGCCCCAATATGTTCCTTTTAAATGAAACAATGTTAATAAAATGAATCCCCGCCGAGTGAAATTCTAATAGTTGTTATGGTTATAAAAGGTAAAATGAGTTAAATAGAAAAATGCTCATGTAGATAAAAAGTAAACCAAATGACTACAAAAAATGGCTTTTTGTGATGTCTTCAGGTAAATCTTCGTTTAAGTGATGAAAGCTGCTCATTCCATGATAAAATTAATATGTGAATAAATAATTTTCATGATGTTTTCAGAAGATTTGAAAAGTAAAAAAATCGGTCGAAAAAAATAAAACTAAAGGAAAGTCAAATAAAGGCGGAAAATGACACCCTCTAAAGTAAAAATGACACTTTGTCGTCGTCCAATGAATTGAAAACTGTAAAAGACCAAAACTCGAAACGCGAACTAAACATGAAAAATTGGAAATGCATATTCGTAGAAACAAAAAATCCACGGAATAGAAACTATTGACATTATCCAACAGGATCGAGTAGAACAACATCGTCAATATCTAACCAATAACTTTGATTTTGACGGAGGTATATAAGATATGATGCAGCCTATAAACTTCCGGGACGAGCCGAGAGCCGTGCTGGTAATGTTCATACGACAATCGGATCGTGATAAAGTACGTAATGCTTACAAAGAAAAAAGGTAAATATGAGGATGTGCGAGGATGAATCGTTGAAAACCTGCCAGAAAGGGTAGTAAAGGCCCGAACATGACTAAATTGTTTTCTTAAGCTATGGAAAGGGCGCCTTTTTCAAATATGATAAACTCATAGTTGATAGAAAATCCTATGTTAATGACACAGTCGAAAAGAAAAGCTCGTGCCGGTAAGCAAACAGCAGAATTGCAAAGACCCACGATACACACCTGTAAATACCAATGTTTTAAATGTGAAATAATGTTCTTTAAATATAAAAGGATTTAATAAAAAAATGATTAAGCTGTGTCTCTTTATTATTTTTGCTCAGAATATGATACTTTAGCCTTATGCGAAAAAAGGATTCATACAGACGAACATTCAATGATTTCGGGTTTTTTCCGCACATATCAATACAATGTACTAGAAAGTACTAGTGAAAAAGAGTTAAAAGAGTTAGATTTTATTTAAAGGAATGGTTGAGTAATCGAGTGGAGAGATTATACAATCATTTCAAAAACTGTATTGTTTTACGTTTAATAATGTTGGGGCGTATGTATAAATATATGATCATTAAATTCGCTTATGTTTCGCCAGAGAGATCTCCTATAAACGATTCATTCATCACATATGGTCGCAGGTGATCTTAACTTGCGCCTTTATACCTCATAACGAAGTTGACTTCATATTGGGAGAAACTGATAACCCTGTTGATATGTTTAATATGCATAAAAACAATTAAGGCAGTAATATAAGTAAGTTCGGAATGTCATTAATAGAAATGTGTTGCGCCTGAGACAGGCACATTCTGAATGGCCGATTATTTCAAGAGACCAAAGGTGAAACCACGTACACGGACGGAGTACGGTGGGTTAAATTATTTCAGAGCGACAACAGCTATATTAGAATTTGTGGAAGATTTTGGTTTCGGAACAAATATTTACTATATTATACTCCAAATTTATCGGAACGAGAACTAGAGATATCATCTATCGGATTTTATGACATAGAATAACGAAGCAGGTACCTGCATGAAAAGGTTAAAATATCTGACAGCGCACAATAGTGATATTCAGCGTGGTGGGGCGTGCAACAAGATAATAAGCGAAAAGTATAAATGCTTACGAACTGTTTGGCACACTAACGCATCAGTTGAATACGAACACAAAATGAAACTGCTTTAAAATCATTTGCAAAATAAAACGAAAACACTGCAAATTGAAGGACGCGAAAACCTTATAGCGCGCAGTAACGATCCAAAACTATTCTGGGAACCACTGAAAAGGGCAAAACCGAATAACATTAACGTGGACGAATGGTTTGCTAATTTTCGCAAATCATTCACAACACAAGATAGTGCAGATACATAAAGGATTCCAAACCTACCACCATCAGATGATCTTGTTAAGGCGAGATATTCAAGTTGTTTAAACACTCCAATTGCGGAACTGTTTTTTTTTTGGCATTACTGGTTGAGAGAGTCAACGATAAAGCTACACATACGATCATTTCGCAAGAAAAAAAACCCTCCTCCCAAAGCCAATCACATCTAGATACAGAGAGATATTTGTCAATACATCTGCCATATAAACTGAAAAGACAATTGGCGAATTCTAGATGTTCTGGTCATAATTTAATGATCGAAAAAGGACGCCACCAGATATTGATCGACAACTCATTATTGTCTATGTTGTCTAAAAACCCTTGCTTATTTTGTTGAGGACGAGTACCACATGTTGATTGTATGTAAATTATATGACGAACTGAGAACCCAATGTTTTATTTAAATTTGACTTAACCGTTAACCTATCATTGGCTTATTTCATTCAACTATGTCATGTGACGATGAACCAAGCATTTTCGCTTTTGTAAACTAAATATACAAAGCTTTTGAAACTAGAAATATGTTAAAAACTTTATTAAAAATCTTGGAACATCCTAGTATAGTTTTTTGGAACCGAGAATATGAATTAAATGATGTTAGATACTAAAACAAATTATAAAGAGTTTGAAGAACACGAATAGTATTTGTACATAAGTTATTTATTTGTAATGCATAATTTATTTTGTAAATAATAAATTAAAAAAGTACAATATTATGTGTATCGTGGGCCGGAGGCCTTTAACGGCAAAAAAGCGTATGTTACGTTATGTTATTATATGAAGATCCTAATAGGAAAAGTCAGACATAGCAATTCTGATGTTTCTAGGTAAAAAAGGGGGCAGTGCCACAATAAAAAAATATGAGCATAATTTTGTAAGGACTAATTATGACGACATAATTCTTAATTACAAAATTATCATTTAATGAAATTAATTCCTAAAAGATAACTAATTAGTTCCGAAATTATACAAATTTAGTAAACATAGATATTTCTAGTTTCTAAATATTTGCTACAAAAGCGTGATACATGTATTCACAATTAAACAGAACAGAACATACTCTTTATTTGGAAGACACATATTACAAAATGTAACATGTGTGCAAATTTATAGACAATATTATAAGCAGTGGGAATGGTCAATACATAAATGACAAAAGAATTACATACAAACAAAGTAATTATACAATAAATATTGCTTATGGGTATTGTTATGACTAAATCTAAGCTGATCTTACATTCAAAAATAGTGTTTCAATTTCTTTTCTTTGTATGAATGGTGCTTTTTTAAAACTTATTTTTTTTTACCAATGTGATTCGATTGAAATAAAAGTTGTCAAAAATATAATTAAGACTGGTAGGTCTAGTATTAAAGAAAAACGGAAAAAAAGGAAAAAGGATAATAATAATAATAAGAATAATAATAATAAAGTATATGTGTAGTATAAAATCGACATTTTTATAGTCATATAAGCAATTCAAACATAGAGCACAATATCATGGTGCATGAAAAGTATTGAACTGATTTCAGTAAACAAAGTATAAAGTATAAAAGAACAACAATAAATAAGTTCGGGAATAAAAAAGAAATTCCACGAAAGCTTGAATACCCTCAAATGTAATAAAGTGCACAGATGAGGGAGATAATACAAATGGGCTTTACTTGACACATATAGTTGCATTTACTTCCCTTTATTTAAGAAAACAACTGTTTCAAACGGTTTATTGTGCAAAACAATTGAATGTATTTTGTAATATATTTCACATAAATGTCCTTAGATTGGAGGCAACTGGTGGTTTTCGCCTACTCTATCGTGGACCTGGACTCGACCAGAGCACGACATGGGACAGAGAAGCTCCAATTAGGTCTTCCTGCGATGACATGCACCCAAGGCCGTGCCAGATGAACTCCCGACCATCAACTCTCCAGTGGCGGTCGGGAGTCAGGAGTAAAGGTGTTTGTACATATAATAGTAGTAGTAGTTGTGTTAACTAGGATTTTGTATTTTCATTGGATTAAGTTATCAGAAGAGCGGTATAGGAGGCAAATTTGAAGGATGTTGGTAATTTATGTATTTGCCTATATTCTAGTACGTACCCCTGCAATACTTGGGAAAAATGCTGATGAATGTCCATTTACTGATACACAAGATTTGTTCCGCCAGTTATATCCATCAAAAATGTTTAATGATATTTGAGTAGTGTGGCTATCTACTTTATAAGACTCTTTTATAAACTCGAAAAGTGCAATATAAAGGTAAATAATCATATTCATCTCGAGAAAAAACCTCAATATCATTAATGTATAAACATAGAGAAGATTTGCTATAACTAACACGGTTTAAAATTGTCTGACAGTCCTTGAAGTGCACAAAACGTGCTATTATCGTACATGTATTCATGTAATTTGATCTAATCCTGTGTGAATGGTCCAAATCAATTTCGTCTGCTTCTTCAACAAAATTAAGCTTTGTTTGGTGTAAATATGAGTGTAAAATATATTTGTTGTACAGTTTCAAGACATTATTTAACCCTCAGAAAGGTATATATCAACGTACAATATCGGATTAACAAAATGAGTCAATTGAAATAGGTGTTCAAGATATTGAATGTATTGATATTGTGTGTAAAACTATATATCATATATAATTGTTATACAATCAAAAAGAGATCAATAGTCGCTTTTAAATAGAAGTTATCTTCTGATCTGCATTCCTTTGAAAACACACTTTTTGCATGAGATTGATTCCTCATAATGTATAAAATATGATTGAAGGTATCCATCTTAAAAAGTATTTTTTACCTTTCGATGACAGACAATTAAATTTACTATAAAATCTTTGTAGGTTAGGTACTTCAGTACTGTTTAGTATCGAAACACATTCTTTACACGTCATAAGATAATGCAGGAAGGACGTATTGTCGGTTTTTTTCTTTTTATTTTCAAATTGTGAGAAAATAAATACTTAGATAGTATTGCACAGAGGTATATTATAATAAGTCACTGGTTAAAGCGACTTGGTCTTGATTTTATTGATTTCCTGTTTGATATTACAATTGTTTTATATTCTATCAAACAATTTGGGGTTATAGACCATTGTCTTAAGGCAGTGAACTTAATATCATAAAGTTTGTGAAAAAAGTGTAAATGTATATTGCTAACTGTGATTTACTGTTTATAACTGCATTCATTATGAAATAAACCCATGTCTTGCCACCCACGAAAGAGTGTTTGGAGTTTCTTACAATGCGTTCAATAAAAAAAAGTAAATATAAAAAAGATGCTTTATGTGAGTGAAGAATACATAATGATTATAAGAATAATGGTTTTGTTTGTTATTAATAAAATGGAAATGTTGTTGATGATTATGATGATGATAACGATGATGATGGCCATGACGATGTGTGACAATGGTGGTATTAGTGGTGCTGCTTCTGCTGATGGTGATAAAGAGAAGAAGAATGTGACAAAATTATGCAATTTACTCTTATCGATAAATCATAAGTATTTTAAAGAAAATCAAAAGTAAAAATAACATTACAATTACACAGAATTTAATTCGAACAAAAATCACGAAATAATGTCTACTTTACCGCCTCCATTGCATTTGTACACTGCTACTTAATCATTTCTATAGACGTCTGTTCTTCCTGGATATAACCTTTAGCGTATAAAAAATAATTGTTATTCATATTTCATATAAGTGGCACTATTTCGCAACGTAACTGTAACGTGCACGGGCTAGCTGTTAAACTCTAATAAAATCTAAACATCTATTGAAATCTTTAAATAGATTATATAAATTTTCTTATGGCTTCTTTGTCAGTTGTCACGAATGATCAAAAAAATGATTGTTCAAACTTTTGAACTAAGTTTAATCAAACAGATTTTATAACAGGAACGAGCCTTAATAATCGATATATTTTATTTGATATAAATTTGAAATATTTACTTTTCAGGCTTTTTAAATATACAGAAATAAACGCGCTAGGATATCGAGTGTTAGAATTTCTACTTATGAAGATGTTCCCTATTACACCAAATGTGAAAAAGAGAAAATAGGTCAATTATAGGGTAATTTAGGATTTTTTAAAAAGTGTTTAAAAGAAAAATATTTCATCGAACTTTTAACGCAAAACGTATTTCGTTAGTATTGTACTGCAATATCTTTGCACTAAATACGTTGTTTTGTTTTACTTCTAGCTTCTTAAACATAATAAAATGATTCAAGGGCTCTTAATCAATCTACAAGCTATAAGTCTAAACATATTTATTCATGCTCGATTGCGCAACACGTTATTTCAACTTATATATCATAACGTTTAATGAGCAAGTAATATATGTAGAATGAACACAACGCCATTCATACTGTCTCCTCTCGTGTGCACCACTGTAAAATTATACATCTTGTTTGCAGCGTGAAGAAAATGATTAATGAAAATGTTTAAAAATTGTTTTTTCGTGATGAAAAAAGTTTTTAATTTGCTTACATGTAAGTCACAGCGTAAAATACTTGCTTATAACTTTACCAGTAAGATGATACTGCGTTAATACCCAGTGACTGCCTTTCTAAATATTTTAGACATTAATATTTATTGACTTGAAGATTAAATATCAACTATTTATGCCCTCGCTCTGAGGGGGTGGGGGATAGCTTTTTACTTGACCATGCACCTGTGCCTGAGTACATGCGTCTGTCAGTCCTGGAATCTTAAGAGTTGCTCCATAAATAATTTATTTAGGGTCGTGAAATGTTAAAAGTTTACATGTCAGTCGGACAGCATTATGTTACTGTGCACCTGAGGTTTCGCTTGTCGATATGGGCAGACATGCCAGTGTAATTGCCCTTGACTTTTTCTTTTTATTTCGTTAATACATGATAGGTTTTTTTAAGTTTATCTTATGGCACAAATCGGGATTTTGACATGTACTTTACAAATGACGTTATACCTCTAATTGAGATTTATTATTTTAGGCAGTGACTTTGCAAAATCAACAAAAAATAATATTTGATCACTTTCGTCAATATTCACGCTGCAAACCAGATGTATAATTGTACAATGGTGCGCAGGAAATGAGGTAGAATGAATGGCGAGCTGCTCACCCCACATTTTGACTTGCTCCTTAAACGTTATGTAATGCCTAAAACCATCATGGTCATTTTCAAAATGACGATTGAACGCGTTGAAGTTGTTTCGAAGAAATTGTTTAACATGTTTTAACATATAGTTAACGTTTGCTTTTGCATTGGTTCTGCAGCAAATGTGCCAAATCTGATGTGCAAGATGTGATCATAAATAAATATGTTTAAACTTATAATTGTTGATTTATTAAGGGCCCTGGAATCATTTTGTTCAGACAGCAAGAATTATGCAAAACATATTTTAGTGCAAGACAAAACTATATTCTTGTTTACAGTGATAATGCAGTACGAAATATGTTTTGCGTTTATTTGGTAAAATATTTGTTTATTGTACAAAAAATGATGAAATATTTGTTTATTTTATACATTTAAAAAAATTGAGGAAATATTTATATATTATACGCTTTTAAGAAAATTGGCGAAATATAAGTTTATTATACACTTGTGATGATGATAATGATGAATCTCTGGTACTTATAATATATTCTTATTTAAATCATATTTATATTGATGTGAAAGACGAACTTCACTGAGCCACTGAAATATCTAGCTTTTAAATATTTAATATGCCTCAATATAACTGAGAAAATGATGAAAAATAAATCGTTTAGCTTTCTTTTCGAAACGGGTAATTTTGTTTATTATTTTAATATGTAATCATTCAATATCTGTATGTTCTATAGGAAATTACTTGAACTGTAACATTTCGATTTAAAACGGTCGAAATAAATGTTCTTTTTATGTATAACACTTTTTAAATGTTATTTGTCATTTTTGCCCTTTCTTAGAAGGAAAAAATCGGTTTTGATGCGTAATGTGCCTTTAAATATTCAGCACAAATATATACAAAAATGATTTTATGTAATAAAAATATAACATAGAAAATTTATAACTTACTTTAATCAATATACATTAATCCTTTGACACACATTCATCAAATGCGTAATAGATTGTAGCGAGTTATGAAATGAGTCCATAATTATTATCTATTTGGATTACTTAATAAAATTCACTTTTAAAGTAATTCAACAAAATACCGTTTGAGTATGTTCTAAACTTACTTAAATAATATTGACATAGAATGTTTGGTAACTAAGAATGTAAGGCTATCTTAATAATAAACCTTTTGATGACGACTGCATTTAAATACTGAAATACGATCTGTACAATTAACCGTGAAATAAGAGTTGTAAGATAAGTTTATATTTTTCGTCTGAAATCTACTTATAAATTAGAAAAAAAGATATAATGATTTGTGGCTATATCACAAAACACACAAAAAATATTTGACAAAAGATTAAACCGATTGCATTAAGGGTACACTTTAAATATCAAAATACATAAAAAAAGTCATTATATAGAAATGCAGATTGTCACTCTAAAACGTTCGGTGTTTTTCCTTTATTTGAAGATCGGTGTCGCGTAATTATCACAAGCGTGGTAATATTACCACGCGTGTGATTATTACGCCGCCGCTCCGGTAAAGGGTAGTGCCGTTAGAATCACACGTACGGTCTTAATTATACTCTAAAATATTTAAATTATATACCATTGTATTGCACAATGAATTCCGCATCTAATGGTATAACTTCTATGGGAATTCATTAATTTTCTAACACACGAGAGGTTTTAATATGACAACATTCGTTATTAAAAATTATAATTATGTTCTGATAAATAAGTTTTTAAAAGTTTTTGTCCTACTTTTCTAATGTGTTATATTGATTGTGTTTTCACTTAGTGTTCAATTCATTTATGATATCATATAGACCTACTATAAGAAATTGTGATAGTGCACTGTTTGATTATATCGCGCCGAAGTAACAACGGTCATGCGTACGAAATTAAATTTTATTATATAATTATTACATATTTGAAAAGTTACGTAACACACTATAAAAATATATACTGAACCAAAAAAGAAACTTTCGCAAAGTATGTGCCATTTGTTCAAGGGTACCACTTAGATGTACACATTTATGTACATGTAGTAGCTTGTAAAACTCGTTTTGTTTGCAAAATCGGTCAGCTAATCCCCGTATAAAAGCCCGATATGTTTATTCAACGTAAAAATCGAGTTTCAAAAGTATTGAAAACCTGTATTAACATATCTACATTCAAACTCGGAGAAAGTTTATTTTTTGTTTCAGTATATATTCTGAAAGTAAAATCATTATCAAAAAATGTGCACAATTGTAGATTTGAATTCGAAAAACCATGTCCATAGCCTGAAATCTTCATAATCAGAGCTTTCTAACCAGTACGCTTACTTGGATTTACGTATCTATATTATCCACTTTTATTTTTCTATATGGTAATAAAAATATAATAATTGAAGAACTTGCACAACCCATTAAATCATAATGGTACGACCGATTAATGTAAATTTTTCTTAGATTAACGAGAAGTCATTGAATTTAGAAGGATAGTACATTTATTTACCATGCAAATTTAACAACACAACCAACGTATACATTTCGCATACCATTTTTAGGCGATTTGTTTTGCTTATTACTAATATCACACTAAAGTGGGTGTGATTGAACTTAAGCCTTCCATTTAATATGAATAGAACAGATTATTTATCTAATCTGTTACTACAACTTGCACATGCATATGATACAGATACAGACATATGAAAAGGAAAATGGGCAATCACGATAATATTAACGCACAGCATTCAACATCCTGTTTCTCATAGCCAGAATTCCTTTGAAGTCACATGCTTACCTTTACACTGACAGTTATTATGGTAGTTTAATAGTTATTGATAAATATGTAGCATCCAATATAAAAAATACTTAAAAATTAACACACTGCCCAATTCTTTTTTTTTTTTTTTTTTTTTTTTGATAAATTGAACATTTCCGATAAATACCGAAGGAAATAAATATATATAAAGCGTCACGGGGTTACTGATTATTCAAGCAACGTTAACCTTGAAACTGAAAACAAATATGACAATTTGAATTTTACATGTGTTCAATAGTTTTAACAATTTATAAAGTGGTTCTGTTCTCGTTTAGACCGTGTGATAATTACGCGAAACCACGCATGTGATTATCATACGGCGGGGTAATAAAGACACGGTTATGGGTAGTGCCGTACGGCTAATCACACGCAGGACTTTATATCTAATCAGTTTAATCCGAATTATAAATCTTTTTCTTAAAACAAAATAGTTCTGCGTTAAATGTTAAACTTTTCAGAACACTACTATTTTTACAATTTGCTTTATAACCACGACGCGTTATAATCGCGCGGTTGGAAGAAGTGCCGTGATAATCACACGTACGGTCTTATATACACTCCAAATAACACAAATTATATACTATTTTATTCCAAAATGATTTCCACATCTCGTGTATAACTATTGTGCGAATGCTATGATTTTCCAAAACGCGGATATGTATTAAAAATCACATTTTACTGGAATTTTCATACAGTCGTCATTTTCATATGAATACATATAATTGTGTTTTTATTTTATCTGATAGATATTTTATAAATACAAAACCCACCAAACGTTAACAGATATTTGATTTAGTGCAGTTTGATAAAATGCTCAAGATCATATT